TCCTAGTAGTAAGGCCAGGAGCCCCTAGTGGCGCCCTTGCTCCTAGTAGTAAGGCCAGGAGCCCCTAGCGGCGTCCTTGCGTCCTTGCTCCTAGTAGTAAGGCCAGGAGCCCCTAGCAGCGTCCTTGCTCCTAGTAGCGATGCCAGGAGCCCCTAGTGGCGTCCTTGCTCCTAGTAGTAAGGCCAGGAACCCCTAGTAGCGTCCTTGCTCCTAGTAGTAAGGCCAGGAGCCCTAGTAGCGTCCTTGCTCCTAGTAGTAAGGCCAGGAGCCCCTAGTAGCGTCCTTGCTCCTAGTAGTAAGGCCAGGAGCCCCTAGTAGCGTCCTTGCTCGTAGTAGTAAGGCCAGGAGCCCCTAGTGGCGTCCTTGCTTCCTTGCTCCTAGTAGTGCTCCCCTAGTAGTGTTCTTGCTCTTAGTAGTAAGGCCAGGAGCTGTGAGCGACGCGAACGGTCTTGACCGCGTCGACGGTCAAACGCGCACGCGCAGCTGTTTATCGCTCACGAGTTCAGTCCGAGCGGTCGTTCACGCGGTGAAACAGAGCTAAGCGGCTACCTACAGCTACCTACCGAGCTCAACCTCAAACCATTCAGCGGCTTGAGCCAAAAGTGAAACACATGCAACTACTAGAGGGCTACGCATGCTTCTATCCACATTCGCCCCTCAGCCGGAGGAACTACAGTGGCTGCGGCTCTTCAAGCTGCTTGCGTAGCCCGCGGTAGCGGTCCGAACCGGATCACGCTACCCGCAGGGCCAGCCGGACAAGTCAGTCCGCGGAAGCCGAACTCTGCTTCCTGCCTGCTTTCGGCCTTTGACCCTGCGAGGATTGGAAGTCGGCCTCATCGAACACCTGGCTCTCTTCCCAATCCTCTTCGAAGTGCTCCTTGAAGGCTTGGAACACTCGGTGATCCACATCAGCGGTGATCACCACTCCGGATTCCCTGTTGGCCTTTGAGCTTGTAGTCCAGTTACAGCTCCCGACCACCAAGTGCCCAACCTTTCCATTTTCCACGAAGCACGTTTTCGAGTGCTGGATCCCTTTCAAGCCCGACCCTGCGGTTGTCGACCTGCTGTCCTCTGCATAGGCCTTGCTCAGGGATCTTCCTCGACATACCCGGATTCTATGTCCGGCATTTCGGAGCATCATCAGGCTCTGAAGTTGCATCTTCGTGCGAGACTCGTGTGTCATCCCAGCGTCCACTAGGATTCGCACGAACCCCTGATGACCCTTGATCATCTCAACCATATCTGGTTGGTCGAAACTGTACGCCGTAACTCGTACGGACGCTTTTGGGTTCTGCTGCAGAAGCTCAACAGCACGAACTTGCGCCTCCTTGTTTCGGACGTACTCGATCTCCAGGTTTTGGGCGGCGGGAGCGTTTTCCAACCCCAGCTGGACATTCAAACCAGCGGTTGCTTCCTTTGCCACCCTGTCATCTGATTTCAACTCCGTCTGACGAGTCATCTTGCTGACTCCCCCAGAACAACCAGATTCTGACCCCTGCGAACCCGGAGGCGACGACGGCTTCAACCACAGTTCCCTAGCCTTCTTCGCCACCCCTTCAAAACATACCCTCTTTTCACGGGTCGCATTTTCCGCGCCCAACGCCAGTAGTGAGGCCGCACCTTTTTCTGCCGCGGAACCTTTGGCGAACCTGACCTCTTTCTCAGGATACACCTTCAGCCTACGAGCTTCTCCTATGGCCGAGTCAATGTGGCCGCAAACCCCACTGGCGAGGTACGCCCTGCAAGCGCATGCCCCTTGACCATCCTCTCCGATCCAGACTCGGTGGACACCTCTTCCTCCAGTGACCTCCCAAGTCGAACCTCCGGCTGACTTCGAATTCTTCGAAGCTCCAAGAGACGGGCTGGCAGGGAGTTACCATGGCTTGACTTGACCAACTTGTTCCGGACAAGGTTTCCAAGCCACCACAGGATCCCCATCCCTGTGGCTAGGACTGCTGACACGACAATCCTTCCTGTCACCTGGACAATCTCTACCGAGACTTCCTCAACCTCGGCTATTGTCCTCTGGGCATAGGACGTGAGCGCGTCAACAACTTCCTCTGCTCCCTGTTCAGTCCGCCAAACCAGTGGAACTGCAGCCAAGAAGGCCAGCACCTTCATCCAGCCGGGGCCGTTCCCATTCAGCGCACGCTGAAGGCGGTTACGGCTCTTTTTGTTCAGCCATGAACGGATGGTCCGGGGCGTCCGCCGTTCCTTTTGTTGAACCAGTCGGACGACGGAGCGCATTGAAAGCTTAAGGACCGCGGCAAGCCTTCCGAAACGGAAAGACCCATCTGCGAGACCTCTCAGCTTCGGAGAACATCGGCGAGGTCCCTCAGCCCGTTTGGACTGGTTGGTGTGAGTCCTCCCACACCGGCACACCTTCTTTGTGCGCTTCCGATGTTTCGTTCCCCCTCTCTTGCGCCTTCTCCTTTCTGGGATGCCCTCGAGGCTGGCAGCAACCCTTCTCTCTCTGCTGCTGTCCGTCCCCGAGCTATCATCATCGCGGCGCGCACGTTTGGGCCGCTGCTGCGAGCAAACATAGCACTTATTCCGATTTACTATGTTCGCCGAGCGGCACCTCGAGCACTCCCACTTCGCGAAAGACAACGCCTTGCCCAGAAGCGTGCGGTGCTCCTCCTTCTTTTCTGCCTTCCTTTTCCTTTTTGCTTCATAGGCCGCTCGCAGAGATTCTTTTACCGGGGCCCATTCTCTGGACTCCTTGAACTCTCCTTCGCATTTCTCTCCGTGCGAATACCCCTTGCAAACCCACGCATCTGGGCTGTTGACCGTGGCGCACCAGAAGCAGACCCATGAACCCCAGACGTACCTTAACTCGTCTAGAGCCTCATCAGGTCCCCAGCGCTCTCCTCTCTCGAGCCGCTCTTCTCCGCGCTCTCTTGCACGATCCAGCCGCAGGGTGGCTTCACGAGGGCCTGCAACGGTCCTGCGATGTTCTGCGGCCCTGACGCGCGATTTGGCTTCGCGCGTGAGCTGCCTCAAACTCTTCCCTGTGCCTTCGGCCTCGCGCGCCTCCAGCGCCGCTGTGTGCCTTGCATCGAGCCCAGTCGCGCCCGCAGGTGCATCGGAAGCGCCTGCGACAGCTACTGCCACGCGTCTGAGTTCTCTTCCTTCTGGCCTTAGTTCTGAAAGGCTCGAGCCGTAGTCATACTGCGCCTTGCTCCCTTCCGGGACTGGCTCAGAACCGAGCCGAGACCGGAGGAGTTGATTGGCAGCATACGCCGCCGCGCCTGCCTTCATCAGGCCTTCCAGACGTTCTCCTCGGGCGGCATCCGCAGCGGTGCCTCCCTGAGAGTGTTCTGCCAAGGTGGCAGCCTGCGATGAGGTCTGGAACCCATGCCTGATTTCTGCAGCAGTGGCATTTGCCAAGGCTTGTTCCACGGCTCTCACCCCGCCTAGGGACACCTTGCGACTCCAAGCGCGCGCCAAGCGAGCGCCTCCCGCTGGCGCCTCCTCAACTAATTCTTCAAGACGAGGCGCATTGGATGAGCTAGCCGCGGCGTCGCCCTCGAACCGAGAAGCGACGCCTGCGAGCTTGCTCCCCTCTTTTTCTTTCCTACCTTCGATGCTTACCGACCGGCAAATCTTTGAGAAGCGCCACCCTGTCGTGACGATGTCATCCGCCACGACGCGCCCCTCAGCTGAGGCTCCCTCTCCTGGAGCGGCTCCACGCTCCTCAAGTGCTGCCTCCTCCCGCTCTTGGGCTTCTGCGGCAGCTGCAGCGGCACGCTCCCTTTCATAACGGGCCTCCAACTTGAACATTTCGTCTATGTGCCGGTCGCTGACCAGGTGGTCATCATCGATAGGACATTTGCCCTTGATTCCTGACCGACTCGTGCACAGCCGGCAACATCCATCCTTCTGCCACAGCTCCTTCGGCAGACGGACCCACCAGAAGTTTGGCGGCTCACCTTCATACCCTTTCGGGATTCGAGCCCTAGCCCTTCTTTCGGGCGCAGGCGAACGCTCTCGCTCCGGCGCCTCCTTAACCTCTTCTTGAGCTTCTGCAACCGCCGTTCCGGGGCCTGGAACACCAGAATCGAGAGTCGCAAACCTAGGCGTCGCCCGCTCCGGGGAAGGCTCTTCCCTTTTGACTTCAGATGGCCGGGTGGGGGCGCTGATAACCTCGACCTCAAAAGAACTCTCAGAGGTCAGGTCTGTGTCACGCACTCCCTGGTCATCCGCGTCCTGAGCAGGACCGCTGGACGGGTCGGGCAGCAGCTCGATCTCCTTCCTTTCGTTCGAGTAGGCTGCGACCTGCTTGTCATACTCACC